AATGCTTGCTAAACATCACTCCTGTTAATTAAAATATTTGTTTATATTATTTTTCCATCTCCCTTAATGGCATTTTTCACCTCTGTCTCATCACCCTTTCGCTGCAGATGAAGTCAATACTGCCATCAAAACCATCAAATGTGGGCTTCCGGTTTTGACGTCGTGGCGATCCAAACACAGGAAGACGGGGCTCCGTCTTTCGCGTTCGGTTTTGCCCTGCTGGGGGACCCTGGAAAGCGTCGAAAGTCGCCCCGTAGAGGCGGCAAGCAAGAAGGGGACTCTAGTTGATTGCAGGGGGGCAGCGGCAGCCCTCCCATTTGATCCGAGGAAGCCCTCCAAACCGGCGGGGGAAAGACTGGCTGCATTCGCATAGCCAGTCCGAAGCTGCTGACAACGGAAGACAACAAGCACTACCAAGCAACTTTATAGCAACGTAGATGAAACTGGGTGAGACCTGATCCTCTGTTTATGATTTTAAGACCTTTTCCTGAAAATCTGCCCAAAGCACTCCCCCCGATGAAAGAGGGAAAGGGAATTTCTGTCCCATTCCCTCAGAAAAGAAAAGCGGCAAATTAATTACTTGGGGAAAATGGTGAAACCTATAAGACTTATTTGGAATTAATATATACATACAGCTTGAAAATTTGGGGACTAAAAGTGTTTTTAAGACCTTTTTCTTTAAAAAAAAAACTTGAAAAGTTTACAATATAAGTTTTGGATCTAAAAACTGGAAAATGGCGTTGATGACATCTAGTGGTGAAATACGGCATTACAACTTATTTATGCCTAAACGAAACCTGGCTCGAAGCCCAGAACTAGATAAGACTTTGGCTGGCCTTGGAAGCTTTTACTATTGAGAATTGCAGCTGAGAAAAAAGTAACAGGCTTGGGGGCTGCTTATCTGTGTGGCAGAGACAAATATTCTAAATTTGGCCTGTCTGAATTTTGAACTGACTTTCAGAACTGTATTGTGGATTTATTTTTCTGTAGAAGAAACATATGGAACACTTTGGATTATAAATCTTGATTGTTAAACAACATTCAATGGTTCTTTTTTCTCCCTGCACAGAAAGGGTATATTTCTTACTGGACAGAACAATTTGAATTTTACTTATATCTGCTTACGGGAGAGTCAGGAACAGACAGTTGGTTGGATAAATTTATAAAGGCTACTTACAAAAAATAAAATAAAATGGATGTTTCATACTCAGCTTTAAATAGTAAAATGCCATCTTTAACATCTGTTCCCAGTAGCCTTAACTTGCCATATTACCAAGAAAATACTGATGAAACACAGAAAGAAATTCCATGTTGAAATTAATACAAAAAACAATTACTTTAGCTTGTGAGCAGGTTAAAAATAACACAAAGGAGATAAAAGAACAATTTTCTAATTTAAATCTACAAACTCAGAAAATAACTACAGAGAAGGAACTAGCAACCCAGAAAATAGAAGGAAAACTAGAGAATGCTGACAGAAACATTGACGATCTAAAGGAAGAAACTAATGACCAGACTCAGATAAATGAAAACTCAGAAGAAACAATGATAATATTGGAAATGGAAAAGACATTTTACAAACCAAGGTTTCAGAACATACTGGATGACAAGGAAGGAGAGCTGATGGAATGGAAGATAAAGTCATTAACAGAACTGTGGGGAACTGTAGAAGGAAGGAGGCGGTTTAATGAATATCAGTGGGCTAGCTCTTCCAAAAATACTTTAACCAAATGTTTTCTCTTGTTTCAAATAATATATACAAAAATAGAGGAAGAATTATTTGATGATCCAAATGCACTGACTTGGAAAGTTAGTTGGCAAAGAAAGAAAGCTAGAGTAAGATTGAAGGAAACAGAAGCTTTGACCTATTAGAGGGTATGCTATATTACTAATTAGAGGTTTGAATATGGTTAAGAATAGATTGTTAGAAATAGAAGTATTATTATAACTAGATAGTTAGGATTTGTAATCAGAATATTATATCTTGGTATGAAAAGGGAAATAAGAATATGCTAAGAACTTTGAATAAGGGATGCTTTTGGTTGCCCAAATATAACTTGTTTTGACATTATAAATGATTGGGATACTTTGAACATGGATGGGAAATTAAAATTGAAAAAAAGCAAAAATAAGATATGGATTAAATAAGTGGAAATTGAGTGCAAATGCAATTAAGATATGCTTTGGTTAGAAAAGATATTTTAAACTGATATTATTGATATTAGTAGAAAAAATTAACAAATGTTGATATGCAATTGTATGTTTACTAACAATAATAAGAATTGTATTTGCCTAATGCGGAAAAATGGTTATTACCAGAAGAAGAGAGGATGTACTGGCGGGTGTAATATTGGACTTAGTTGGAAGAAGCTTATATGTACCACAGAATTACTAATGGACTCAGTCATCACGTTGCCTATTGGGCACTTGTTTGTGAAAATAGAAAATTAATAAAACATTTATAAAAAAAACATCAAATGTGGTAAAGCACCAGGATTTGAGGGAGTCCACCTGGAATTCTTGATAAACTGTGGGCAACGCACACGTAAATAGATCAGTATGTTTTTCTCACATATTGTCTTCAGCGGCTGCTTACCAACACAAATTGATATCAATTTTAAAATCAGGCAAACCAAACGACAGGATAGAAAGCTATGACCCAAAAGCTCTTTTAAGCTCCTGCTATAAATTTTTAGAAAGATTACTCCCGAAACAGGATCAGCCCTAGAATTGAAGTATATCTTCCTGTGGAACAAGCAGGATTTCAAAAAAATCAAAACTGCAAAGACCAGGTGCTGAGCCTAAGAAGTCACACTGAAGCAGGATTCCAACGAGGCCTTAAAAACACAGTAGTTTTTGTGGAACTGATCGCAGCCTAGGACACAGTCTGGAAGGAAGGTTTATTACACAAACTACAACTGATCATCCCATGTCAAAAAGAGTATCCACCTTATTAATATGCTGAGTGACAGGACTTTTCAATTAATAATAGGAAGAAAAAAAGCAAAGTGAAATTAAATAATGGCCTACCACAAGGCTTTGTGCTGGCTCCCACATAGTTCAACCTATACATATCTGACATGCCAGTTACCAAAGGACGGAAATTCTCTCTCACAAGAAACACATAGCAAAAATTAATACCAGAAATAACATACTCCATAAACTTGGTGGAACTAAATGGGGTGCCTCTGCCTCTACACTCAGAACATCAGCATTGGGATTGGTGTACTCTACAGCTGAATATTGTGGCTCTGTCTAGATGAACAGCTGCCATACAAATAAACTGGATGCTAGACTGAATGATACAATGAGGATAATAAGTGGGTGCATCAAGACCACGCCGACCTGCTGGCTTCCCATACTGAGCCATATTGCCCCACCAGCCTTAAGACAACAAGATGCACTTCTCAGAGTACAAAAAAATCTACCGGTGCACTCCGATATGCCATACTTATCAATTGGAAGGCTTAAATCCAGGAATCCCCCACAGATACTTGCACAGCAGCTACATAACATTAACTTTGATATAAAATCCCTTTGGAAAGTAAACTGGATTCAGTTTCCAGAAAAAAGATATCTGACCTGACACAAAAATTAGTGGGTTTTGGTGCCACTTGCCAGTGCTGGAAAACTTTGAATAGGATCTGTACCTTGCATGGTATCTGCCAAGATTCTGTTTAAATAGGGCAGAGTATCCTGCCCTGAATGTGACTGTAGTGTTCCTTGTCAGACAGTGAATCACATAGTGACTAGCTGCCATTTGAGAGCTTATACAGGAGGAAAAGCAGACTTTCTCCAACTAACAAATACTGCACTTAATTGGACAAATGGCCTAGATATTAATATATAGAACACTTTTTCTATTCTTATGAATCAACGTATTTTAAAATGTAACCTATAATTTTTTGAATTCCTCAAACCTTACAAAATTGATTACATATTTCCATCATACGTGTACCATAGTATTATGTGCTCCTATATAATTTTATTTTCTTCAAAATGAAAAAGGTCTTCTGCAGTCACGACATAAGCCTAAGACTGAAAATCAGGCTTGTCAGATGCTATATTTTTTCTATCCTGCTCTATGGAGTAGAGAGTTGGTCTCTGACAGAAGGCCACCTGAAGAGACTAGAAGCATTTGAAATGTGGATTTACAGGCAGCTGTTACGTATAAGCTGGGTTGACAAGATCAGAAATGAGGTGATAAGCCGCCTGGGAAAGCCAAGGGAAATCATCAAAACAATTAAAAAACGAAAGTTAGAATATTTTGGACATGTGATGCGACACCCAGAAAAATACGGCATACTCCATTTAATCCTCCAGGGACAGATTGAAGGCAAACGAGGTCCAGGCAGAAGAAGAACATTATGGCTTCAAAATCTAAGGGACTGGTTTGGACAAAACTCAGCAGCACTTTTTCGTGCAGCTGCTGATAAAAACAGGATCGCCAACATGATCGCCAACGTCCGATAACGGATATGGCACAAGAAGAAGAAGAAGATATAATTTTATTACTGTTATCCATGTGCTCTATGCCATACGCTAAATAAGCTAGTTACACACTTGAAACACGTTTTGCACTCAAAACCGGGGGTTTCAAAGCTGAAATGGTTCAATTTCAAAATGTTTTGTGCACTCCTAATCTTGATGAACATTTCTAATCCTGATGAATCCTAAGGAATTTTGAAGAATTGAAAAAAAAATGTTTAAAAAAGGGAGGGAGGGAGGGAGATGGGCAGTTAAGTAATAGGAAATATAAAATAAATAAAAATAAAAAAGTATTTCAGTCATGCTGAAATATGTTCAGCTTAAAGAAGAACAAGAAGAACATGCAACACAGTGGTGGTCAAAACTGAAGTGATTCAGCAGGAGCTGTGTCTAGTCACATAGTATGCATGAGGGCAGAGCACCCATCAAATAATTCTATAAGCTCTAAAAGATTCCAAGCAGGCACATAGCCCATGTGTGTGAATCATGGAGACCACAAAGAAGACGCCTACTTACCTAATTTTTGGACAATTTTGCCCTAATGCATTCAAGATGGCATCAGTGATATTGGAACAGCCAGAAGCACATAGAGATTGCATCTTGTGGCATCCTCTACATATTGTAATGAGGCCATCATCTGTTATTTGCTAGAAAAGGAAAGGAAATCAATCAATCATAGTGAGAAGCAGGATTGGGGTGATGCTGTATCCAATTTGCTCTGCAAATTCTAAAATTAAATGTTAAAAAGTATTTGTTGGTGAAACATTTGGATGAATGACTATTTGGCAACTATCACATGAAAAACCAGAATGCCAACTGCATACAATCACCCCAAATCAGTTCTGTTTTTGGATAAATGTTCCATTTTTGGCATCACCACAAACTGGTCCACGATACTTTCTTGGAAAAGAAATGTACTTCCTCTTCCAGCTTCTTTATACACACATAAAACAGACTGTATTTTAACACAAGTTTAATCAAAAAGAAGACAAGACCAACAAACCATGGCAGCTCAAAATAAAGATTTTTTTTCCAGCCTGTTCTACAAACAAACTTTGGAAAAAAATTCACGTACAAGGCAAACGAAAACCAGATGGATTTACTAGACTAAATGCTAATATTACAATGTTTTTAGAGAGGACTTCCCAAGATTTTAAAGTGGTATTCATTATATAGAAATGCGAAGAAATAGCTGCCAATTTGAGAGTTTAAAAACATTTAGTCATTGAATGGAGTCAAGCAAAGTCTTCAGAGTTTGGGTATGGAATAAAGTGAGTTTTACTTTGTGGTATATAGTGGCTTTTGGGTTGGTTGGTTGGTTGGTTGGTTGGTTGGTTGGTTGGTTGGTTGGTTGGTTGGTTGGTTGGTTGGTTGGTCAGTCATAAAAGTGTACAAGCCAAAAGAGTATTTTAAAGCCCCCAATTCAAAATTCAAATTATGCTAGGAAAAATGACAGCTGATTTGAAGGATCAGGCATGGAGTATCCATATATGATTTTAAAAATAAAAGTGCCAGAAAGCAAGTCTTACAAAAACTCTTGTTTTAAATGCATTACTAGGGAGACAGTGATGGAGGGAAAGCTGCAGTTTGAAAGAAACGCTTCTGTACAGGGGAAGGCTCATTATTATAAAGGATAGTTTGCCATTTCAATATTGCACAACCCTACATGTGTGTGGACACATGCACAAACACACATATTCATCAGTAGGTTGCTGAAGACTTGCTACCCAATAATTCTACTCAGATGCTACTTCCATGTTGGTTTTCTTGTGTATATGGGAAAAGAAGGTAAAGCACCAAGTGATTCAGAAAGTGCATCATGAATCTTCAACCTACAAGTTTGATTGGCTTGTTTGAAATTTGGGGAACACATAGGGAATTTGTAAAATGGTGTCTAGGAGAACTTGTCCATTCACAAAATAGCTGCCTTGGAGAATTTAATTAAGAAGGATAGAGTTATCAGGTAATTGCTACCTCCTTTTTATTTCAATCTATCTTTATCCCTTTTCTGGTCAAATAGATACATCTGGAAGCAAAATAGTAGACTGCAATGATCTATCATATTTATTGGGGCCATTGGTGGCTCAAAAGTATTCTTGGAATCAACATAACACAACACAAAGAGCTGTGGTGGCTCACTGGTTAGAATGCAGTACTGCAGGCTACTTCTGCTGACTGCCGGCTGCCAGCAGTTGGGCAGTTTGATTCCCACTGGCTCAAGGTTGACTCAGCCTTCCATCTTTCTGAGGTCAGTAAAATAAGGACCCAGATTGTTGGGGGCAATATGCTGACTCTGTAAATCACTTAGAGAGGGCTGTAAAGCACTGTGAAGCAGTATAGAAGTTTAAGTGCTATTGCTATAATGCTGAAAGTAACGCTTTACTTTGCAGTATGCCACTCCCCTCAATACACAAAGACAGACAGATAGATAGATATAGGAGAGAGAGAGAGAGAGAGAGAGAGAGAGAGAGAGAGAGAGAGAGAGAGAGAGAGAAACAGACTGTAGAAACATGAAGGGTGTCAAGGGAACTATAGAAATTGAGAGATTGTGCCAGTGTTAGCCAGGCTTCCTAACCATACAGATGGTTGGCCAATTATGTAATTCCCTAATTTTCTCCTAAACCTACTGTGCTTCAGGCTTGAAGCATTTTTTCCTTAGTGATCCTCACAATTCAGAATCTGAAGGGACCAAGCCCAAAACAATAAAAATGGCAAAATAAATCACATCTGATCTAATTATGGTAAAATCAACTGCTTGATTCATGAAAATACTAGTTGAACTAGGACAATGTAGAGATTTTGATCTGTACATCCCATTCCCTCCAGCTTATTTTATTGCTCATATTTTAAACATTTTCCTATCCCCATTACTTTTCTACTATAAAATAAACAGCCACTCTGCTAAGCCAATAGTGATAACATAAAACATTATGATGTGGAATAGGTAATTAACAAAGCTGTCACATTACAAGAAAAGAGAAAAAGCTGGGTTCATAATGACCAACTTCTTACCAAGCACGTTTGCAAATTCAAAGTCACTAATTCAGGACAGTGTGCACCAATGTATTTGAGAGCTTCATCTTCCAGCTAAGAGGAGAAGGACAGAAAAGGAGAAAACAGACAATTTTCTAGATCTCTTCATTGTACTTTTCTTTTATAGCATGAGTGGGCAAGGTACAGTCAATCCTGTTTTTCCTTACCCCAGATCATGATGCTGCAATTCACAGCACAACCCAGAAATTTGGTGATATATTTCAATATTTATTTACAAGAAAACATTTTTCTTTTCACTGCCCTCCTTAAAAAAAAAAAGCAACCCACCCCAAAGAAGCTGCAAACATTGTTATATCGTTAACTAATTGCTATGCCTCCTGCAGCCCTTGAATTTTGAGTGTGTTGCTGAAAATATATACAGGCCAACCTCATTTACTGACTGCCTCATGCAGCAACTGTTCAAAGTTACAACAGTGCTGAAAAAAAAATAACTATGCAGCCACATGACCTTCACAGCATCTGTCACTCAATCACATGTTCACCATTACAGTCAGTTCACATTGTACTGTACACTATGTGTACATTGCACTGTGCACTAAGTCATTTAGTACACATTGTACTGTGCTTCACCCATCCCCTCCATCTCGCAGAGCTTCCAAAGGGCAGGAGAATGGGCAAAAAGGAAACCTATAGTGAAATAATAAGCACAGTTACAGTCATGTGATTTTCCATTTAGTGACATTACCTAGCAATTGAGTTGCCAGTCCCAACTGTGGTCATTAAATGAGGACTACCTAAATTACACAAACACCATTTAAGTATGACCTCTGGCTGCAAATGAATTCCAGTTCCAGTTCCAGAATTTCTTTTCTCAAAAATAAGAGTGCATTTTTAGAATTAAGCCCTTCAAATCATATTTTATTTCAAAGGGAAAACAAAGATGTTTTCCATAAAGCAAAATATGCACACGTATTATTTGTAGATGACCAGACTGAGCCCGAGGGAGGGGTCAAGCATGTCATCAGTCTCAAGTCCCGCATCTACAAGAGATCTAAGTGCTTGAATTCCATCGACTGCCAATTTGCTTTGACCATTAGTAGTTCAGATTCTTGTAGAGTGTTAGCATGCAATAAACCTGTAGTCATCTGAACCACCTTGCTTCCTGATTTCTTGCGCCTGACATTATTTTTGCTAATATAAATGTTACACATGTTGAATCAAGGGAAACAGATGAGCAATAATTAAGGCCCTTAGTGCCATCAACAGTTTTCTTACAATGTCATACATTTAAAAACTGCTCATATTATCCTTAAAAAAGGATTGGAATCTAAAATTAAAATTACATTTGCTAAATCAACTATAGTTTCTTCCTTTATAGCAGGGGTGTCAAACTGCCGGCTCACGGGCTGGATGCATCATAGCAAAACCGCACCCACCCCATGGCCAGCAATGTCAAAAAAGTTGCAATACGTCGCGACACGTCACGTGACGTTGCGAGTTTGACACCCCTGCTTTATAGTTTGCACTAATACTTCTTGGGCTACTTGAACAGCAGTGTTACATTAATGATGATTTAAATGTGCCCAGGAATGTCATACAATTTAAGACTGCACAGGAAACATCAAGACAACTTGTAAAGGAAAACAAAACATAGTTAAGACAACCTGTCTGCTGTTCAACAGGTTCAATTTTGAACTTGATCATATCTGGCAAAATCTTGGTAAACTAGATGAATTTGTTTTGGAAATAGAACACATTAACCTTTCTCCAAACTGATATACTATGGACATGTTGCCTACAATTTTCAGAATTCCCAGCCAATACAAACAACCCTGACTGGGCATTTTAGAAATTGCAAGCAACACGTCTGGAAGACACCTACTTGCTTAAGTCTGTGATATACAGTATAATGGAAATAATTTGTCAATTCTCATACCCTTACACTCTTCAGTAAAATGCATGCAACTGTAAATCTGGCATAGAAACAATAGTAATTGTGGTAGTTGCTTTCCAACCCATCCCCTTGAACAAAGACAGTTGTTCTATGTCCAATGTAAGAAGTTTCCCAAAGCTCTGCATCATAAGGTTTATATGTAACTGAATGTAAAGTACAGGTAGTCCTTGAGTTACAACCACTCATTCGGCAGCCATTCAAAGATATGATGGCGCTAAACAAGGGGGGGACTTATGACTGGTCTGCAAAGTTGCAGCTGCTGCAATGTCCCTGCAGTCATGTGACCAACCTTTGGGAGTTTGGTATTTGGCCTGCATTTACAATGGTTGCAGTATCCTGCAGTCACCATTTATGAACTTCCCTGCCTGCTACTCACAAAGTGAATAGGAAAGCCAGCAAGGAAGATTGCAAGTTGCTCCCATAAGTCGCTCCTGGCACTTTTTCTTTTTTGTATTATAAATTTTATTAAAAGGATTTTATTTAATATAAAACACAAATAGAAATAAAGACAACGGGGAAAAGGAGGGAAAAGATATAGAGGAGGTAGTGAGGGAAGAAAGAAAGAAAGAAAGAAAGAAAAGCAGAATAACAGAATAACAGAGTTGGAAGGGACCTTGGAAGTCTTCTAGTCCAACCCCCTGCTCAGGCAGGAAACCCTATACCATTTCAGACAAATGGTTGTCCAACCTCTTCTTAAAAACTTCTAGTGTTGGAGCATTCAAAACTTCTGGAGGCAGGTTGTTCCACTGATTAATTGTTCTAACTGTCAGGAAATTTCTCCTTAGTTCTAGGCTGCTTCTCTCTTTGATTAGTTTCCATTACTTCTTGCCCTGCCTTCAGGTGCTTTGGCGAATAGCTTGACTCCGTCTTCTTTCTGGCAACGCCTGAGATATTGAAACACTGCTATCATGTCACCCCTAGTCCTTGTTTTCATTAAACTGAACATACGCAATTCCAGCAACCGTTCTTTATATGTTTTAGCCTCCAGTCCCCTAATCATCTTTGTTGCTCTTCTCTGCACTCTTTCTAGAGTCTCAACATCTTTTTTACATCGTGGTGAGCAAAACTGGATGCAGTATTCCAAGTGTGGTCTTACCAAAGCATTATAAAGGGGTATTAACACTTCACGTGATCTTGATTCTATCCCTCTGTTAATGCAGCCTAGGACTGTGTTGGCTTTTTTGGCAGCTGCAGCACACTGCTGGCTCATATTTAAGTGACTGTCTACTACAGGGGTGTCAAACTCGCAACGTCACGTGACGTGTCGCGACGTATCGCGACTTTTTTCCATTGCTGGCAATGGGGTGGGCACGGTTTTGCCATGATGCATCCAGCCCGTGGGCCGGCAGTTTGACAGCCCTCTCACAGTTACTACTATTGAGCCAGGTACCACCTATACTATACCTGTGCATTTGTTTTTTCTTGCCTAATTGTAGAACCTTAATTTTTCACCATTGAATTTTATTTTGTTAGATAGCGCCCAATGTTCAAGTCTGTCAAGATCCTTCTGTATCTTAAGCCTATCTTCTGGAGTGTTGGCTATTCCTGCCAGCTTGGTGTCGTCTGCAAATTTGATGAGTTCCCCATCTATCCCCTCATCCAAATCATTGAAGATGTTGAAGAGTACTGGGCAAAAAACAGAGCCTTGGGGTACCCCACTGGATACTTCCCTCCATATAGATGCAGTTCCATTGAGGACTACACATTGAGTGCCGTTGGTCAGCCAGTTACAAATCCATCTGGTGGGGATGCTGTCTAACCCACATTTTTTAGCTTATCAAGTAGTAGGTTGTAGTCTACTTTATCAAATGCCTTACTGAAGTTTAAGTAAATTATATCCACAGCATCCCTCTGGTCCACTAATTTTGTCGCTTTGTGAAAGAATGCAATAAGATTTGTCTGGCATGATCTGTTTTTGACAAACCCATGTTGACTTTTGGTTATGACTTTGTTTGCCTGTAGGTGTTTGCTGATTCATTGCTTGATTAACGTTTCCAGAATTTTCCCAGGTATTGAGGTCAGGCTGATAGGTCTGTAGTTTCCTGGATCTATTTTTTTCCCTTTTTTGAAGATGGGAACTACATCAACTCTTTTCCAGTCCTCTGGTAGTTCCCCAGTGCTCCAGGATCTTTGTAAGATATAGTTCAGTGGTTCTGAGATCATTTCTGCCAGTTCCTTCAGAACTTTGGGGTGTAATCCACCTCGTCCTGGTGATCTGAACTTGTCTAGGGTGGACAGGTACTCACTTACCATTTTCTTGCCTATTTTAACTTGTATTCCTAATCTGTTTTGTCACCTTCTTGCCACTTTCTCCCATTAATGGATCAATCGTTTCATTTTGAGCCTTAGCCTTCCTCATTTCATCTTTGCAGGCTCGGGCTATTTGCTGATAGTCTGCCTTAGTTATCTGCCCCTCTTTCCACTTTTTGTACTTGTCATTTTTGTCTTTCAATTTATTAGAGAGTTCTTTATGCAGCCATGCTGGTTTCTTTTGAGAGCTGTTATTTTTCTTCTTCATTGGTATTGTGCTAGACTGGGCTTTTATAATCTCACTTTTCAAAGTTTCCCAAGCTTCTTGGGTTGTTTTCCCCTTGAGTATTCTCATCCATGGATCCTTCCCAAGCTCTAAGTTTATTGAAATTAGCTCTCTTAAAGTCCAAGACTATTGTTTGACTTTGTTCTATTGCTTGTGCTTGCATAATGTTGAATTCCAATATTGCATGATCACTTTCCCCCAAGGTTCCTGTAGCTTCAACACCTTCTATCACAGGGGTGTCAAACTGCCGGCCCGTGGGCTGGATGCGTCACGCCGAAACCGCACCCACCCCATTGCCGGCAATGGGGGAAAAGTCGCAATACGCCACGACACGTCACGTGACGTTGCGAGTTTGACACCCGTGTTCTATCATTTCATCTCTGTTAGTGAGAATTAAGTCCAATATGGCTGATACCCTAGTTTCCTTCTCTACCTTTTGGGAGACAAAGTTGTCTGCTAGGTTTGTCAGGAATCTGTTTGATCTTCCACTTGGTGCAGAGTTTGTCTCCCAGTTGATGTCAGGGTAGTTAAAGTCCCCCATTACTATTGTGATGTGCTTCCTACATACCTTAGTTAATTGACCTATGGCAATGTCATTCCCCC